TTATTTTGCTAAAGTTGTTTAATTGTCTATTTTGTTAAATAATGATTATGTCTGTCATTGAAAGATAGTGTGTGGTTACCTTTATAAATATACTCAGTAGTCGGAAATCCCGCTGGGGTTTTTTTTTGTTGTTACCCCGGTCTCCCTCGCTCTGCGTGAGGTGACCCACGCCGCAGTGAATAACCCACCTGCCCCTGACATTTCACTCTTCCTCTCACAAATAATATCTCTTCACCAGACCGCACGTTTGAAGCTCTTGCGGCTTCCTCCTGCCACTTTACTGCAGCCCACTGTTGCTTTTCCTGAGGAATTGAGGTGAGAACAGTGGGAAACCTCGCACTTCCTCCACCCTCTGCTTTCCCGTCTCCTTTCACCTATTCAGAAAGAGGTTTTTCCCCTTTCGTTCCTGCTCCAGATCTGCTGTGACAGACAAATGAAGCCTGACACGGAGCGCTCTGATTGGTCGGATGAGGAAAACACATCTTCTTTTTCGTTCTTTGTTCTATTTTTGGTACAAAGCTTTGCAGCTTTTGGATAATGAATCGTTCTCTCTGTAGTCCTCAGAAAGAACGATTCTCAAAGCTTGAGGTTTGGCGTCTCGTCGAGTTAAACCTCAGGTGATGTCTAGATCTAGATGATAAACCGAAATGTGGCACACCTTGATAAGACGCTCTTTTTCCCTTGCAGCTGACAGAAAGCCGATATTCAAGTTGGGAAATACTCGGAATGTGTAACTATGATTCCAGACGATCTGACAGGTGTCACCTATTGATTATGTTTTCATATTGGCACGCAAACAACCCTCCAAATGACTGTGACGAAGTAAAAAAAATCCATATTCCGTCTGGCAGCACATCAAAGGGACATCCGTGCTCATTTTTAGAACGTACACACAAACACGGATGCTCATTAAACGCCACACTCAGAAATATCTCCCCTCTTCGTTGAAGGAGAGATTTGCATCGTGTGACCTCTAGCAGGGCGTTCTCTTTCCTTGCCTTTCCGTATCTATACCCTAATCAATTTGAGCGAGATCAAAAAGCCCGACATCTCCCTCTTCAAATGGATTAGCTCCTTTTGTGGCATCGTAAGGCTGATTGAGGGAAGCATGCTGTGTGGAATACATCAGGACAACTGCCACCCCATGCAGCAATGCTCTCACCTTCATGTTTATTTATTGCAAAGCCCCTAAAAGGCAAAAAAAGCACCTGTTTCCTTTCCTGGCTTCCTGTCAGCAAATGAAACCTGGGGACAGAAAGGCTGCTCTGATGAGACGGATGTCTAATGCATCTGCCTGTTGTGCGTCTGTTGCCAAGCAGGGGATCAAACCCAACACTGTCTCGGGTTAACGTGGGCTTTTCAACATCAGACGGTTAACCTTGAGAGATTTCGGATGTTTCGTCTGTATCGTATCCATCACTTAAGGGCAATTTATGAGACCTGTAATGTTTGGAAGCATCGTCTGTCAGTAATTCAGAATGAACAAGATGTTTTTATCAATAGCTGAAATCAAGTTTTATTGTATTGTAGACTGCTATAGAGTGACCTGGTTTGGTTTTCATGGCTGGTTTTCTGTCATTGTTTTTAATTTTAGTGCATTTTTATGTTTTCATTTATATTGTTTTTATTTAATATTTATTTAATTAATTGTATTTATTAATTTAATGTTAAATGATTTTAAAATCAAATTTTATGTTTTTTATTTTTAATAATAGATCAATAATCATGTATAAATAAATAAATAAATAAATAAATAATCATTAATTTATTTTATTTCATATATTGAAAAAAAATATGGTGTTTTTTTTTTATTGATTTTTTTTGTTTGTTTGTTTATTTAAAAATAGTAATTTATTTTGTATTAATCTATTATTTTCAAAATATTATTCCCATTTAAAACAGTTGCCTTTTGTCTTTGGGTGGACAAAAATATTACTAGCAACTAGTAATAAAACTAGGTTTTAACATTTATTCTGTGAGTGTTGCATACGCATTACTCACCACCACAATGTAAGGTGTTATGGATGTTTTCCAGTGCATTGCTATGTGGTTGCTAGGGTATCATGGGTGGTTGTTAAGATACTATGTGTTGTTCCTAGGTGGTTGCTTACTGGCACAAGTGCCTATAATATTCTGGTCTCTAGATATGTCTCTTGTCCCTCATTCAGGGCATGTTTACACAGCTGAGTTAAGGCTGCTCTGTGCCTGCTCAGAATTCTGTGTGAAGACGTAATGCTGCATAAAAGCCAGACTAAATTATGCCTTCTCTGACCCACTTCAACCCCTAGTGTACAATGCACAACTATAATTGCTGTGTAAATGCATTCATGCCACCTCCGAGCAGCATTATATAGTCAGAAGCAGTTCTGTGCCACCTTTTCAGTATGTTGCATTAAGTTTTCCTCGCTCTCCAAACCGAGGTACCATTCATGCATCATATTAGCTTTGCTACTTACGAATAGAGGTTTGTTCAAATCTAAACTTTATCAGATTGTGCAAGTTAAAAGCACCACAAAAGTTTCATATTCTTTTGAAATCTATGAATAAAGGACATTATTCTGTTTGATAGCATCTCATATTCCTGTTTATATTGCACAGGGCAAGACTGAACTTGCTATCCTGCACAGTTTCCTCTAACACGCTCTCAGTGCCTGCGATGCATAATTGCCTGACATTCTTCTGCCTTCTGTTCTTTGTGCACAGGCAGAATGAATGGCTCTCTGTGTGTGAAGTGGAGTAAATAGATACGTTTCTGTGCGCATCGGAGTGTTGATGAGAGTGAGCGCATAGATGTTTGTTAACTGTTTCATGCTGCAGAGCCTCAGAAATATCGGAAGGGAAGGCAGGCGTTGGACGGTACTCTTTGTACACCATGTGCCCGGCTCTTGAGACTGGGCACTGTCTATCTTTCAGCTCTGACCTTTGTTTTGAACGCAGCCCTGGGAGCAGTTTCTGTCCCTCCCTCTCTATCTCTTTGTCTCTCTGTATCTCATTTCATTTTCTTCCTTGTTCCAGTTTCCTTCTCGTCCATTCTAATTTTTTTCACGCTTTGTGATTCCTTGCCGTCTCTTCCTTGTTTGAATCTCCTTCTCCTCTTTGTTGTGCCACCAGCTTCTCTCTCTAAATAAAGTAATCAAGCTCAGCACTTTATTTTCCTCAGTGTGCATTCTCACATGACAGGTTTGCTTTCTCTCTGTGGCTTTAAAAGAGAACATGGGTCTTTTTAAAAAAAGCCTGTCCAAGGAGGTAAGAGCCAACCTGTGGGAAAAAGCAATCAGAGAAACACGAAACCCATATTAACCCACAGGACTACATTTAGCTCTCAGACCAACACTGATCCTGCCTCTAAAGACGGGAAGAATTTCATGGGCTGAATCTCAACAATTGTCAAGGGCATGTCCAGGTGAAAAAAAAAAAAAATGAAATTATATTTTTGGGACAATTACGGGTCATTTTTTTGCATTTGCATTTAAGCACATTTCCCCCACAAATTCTAATTGAAAATAAATAAATTGTTTTATTAAAACATACTATTTATTTACAATGTACAATTTACATATAAAAAAAAGAATAAAAAAATATAACATTTGTAAATATATATATTTATATGTATACATGTGTGTGCGTGTGTGTGTGTGTGTGTGTGTGTGTGTGTTTCTATATATATAGAGAGAGAGAGAGAGAGAGAGAATGTGTGCTCAACTGTCTTAAAAATAATGACACACTCCAAAAAATCTTACTGATCATAAATAGACATATTTTATTTATGCAAAACTTAGTTTTATGTATTTTCCTGAAATATGTGAAATATGACTTGTTTTGGTGATTCACCTCATAAGATTTGCAAACCTGCAGCAGTCACTCATTAAAGGGGTCATATGACGTTGCTAAAAAGAACATTATTTTGTGTATTTGGTGTAATGAAATGTGTTTATGCGGTTTAAGGTTAAAAAAACACATTCTTTTCCACATTCTGTACATTATTGTTTCTCCTCTATGCCCCGCCTTTCTGAAACGCATCGATTTTTACAAAGCTCATCGGTCTGAAAAGCGAGGTGTGCTGTGATTGGCCAGCTATCCAGTGTGTTGTGATTGGCCGAATACCTCAAGCGTGTAACGGAAATGTTACTCCCCTTATCATACTGTGATGACCATAGAGTGAGCGGAGGCCGGCGAGCTAGAGTAAGGAACGGCCTGCGGGCTTGCGGCAACCACATGTGACGACCCCGGGCTGGACTCCGCTTCGTCCACGGTGAAAGCCGATCCGGCGATCCACAGCGCGAAGTTGATATATTTCCTCAGTGACCAGCACAGATCACATGGCAAATCTTCTCACATCATCACGTAGACATGTGGGGGCGTGTTAGAATGAGCCGTTTTAGCTAGGCGTGGTTGATTCTTAACTTTTATAAAGAATATCTCTTTGGATTTGAGACTTTAGTCTTTGCAACTTTACAGATCTTCTTTATGCACCAAGAGCTTGTAACACTCCAAAGAGAAAGCAAAAATTTAAATCGCATCATATGACCCCTTTAAGAGAACAGATTTTAACATCTTGTTTAAATAACCTCTTTTGCTCCCAGCATGTCAAGGAAAGTAGGTGCGATCTGCCTAAAAAGTGTCTTTTGTATCGTTTTAAATTGGTTAGCATGATCTTGGCAAACTGAACCCGTCTCTGGGTGATTAATTGCCGCAACATTAGACAAGCACTGCAGTGTTGGAGAAATGGCCTTCACAGTAACGTTAGATGAGCTGGCAACCCAAGACTGTGAAAACAGTCCAGACTAAAAGCCCTTGGATGGAACTCGATAAACCCCTTCAGCTGAGGACCCTCAGGCCCCTTCATTACAGCATACTGACGTGCCAGTATAAATACATATTTCAACTTCAATCTGAGCTGATTCGGGTTTTACGCCTGATTCTGCTCATGTGAAATGTGGTGTTAACACTGAGCTGTTCAGACAGACAGCAGGGAGTGCACGCAGAGGGCACATTAACGGATGTCCTCCGGCAGCATTTCAGGGTGCGTGCTCATCCTCATCGGATGAATAAGGTGAACATCACTGGTAGACGACCTCAGTGTCCTTTAGCTGAACTCCATATGGTAATGCACAGTGCAGTTTAAGTACACTGAATCCTTAAGCGATAGGTTGACAAATGCAGAATTTTGAGATAATCACCTGATATCTAATTGTTACCTTGTGTCAGATTCAGATCCCAAATATACTGATGGTCAACAGATAATGCACAATAATTTTTTTGTTTTTTCATTTTTAAATATTTAGTGAACTTTCCAAGCATGTTTGAATTTATTTTAAGTAAAACTTTTGTAAACAGTAAAGGAATACACCTTACACACCTGAATAATAATTTAATTTTGTGGCAAATTTTTGTAACTTGCATTTACTGAATGTTCTTGCACGCTATGGTAGGATGCATGATTTTTCACTTTTTTTAGTAATAAAAATATTAAATATTGTGTTAAATAAACATTCATTCTAATAACGAGGATCATTAATTCTCAGCAAATTTGTGGTTTGTTTAATTTTATATTAGTTCATTTTATTATTGGCTTTAACATCAGCCACTTTTGAAACAGGCAAAATGAAACTTGGTTTGAAAAAAATCATAAATTGTTGCAATTTGTGTCAATTTATGTAACAATATTTTTACACAAAGCAATGTGACATCATTCATGAAACACATGAAAAACTATTTATTTATTTATTATTAAATAAGAACAATTAAATAAATGATTCACACACATTTGATTTGTATGTTTCATCCCAGTTTGATCAAGCTTGCTGAAAAATTATACTGAATTTGACTTTATGTATGAATGAATTTGATCTTTCGCTGTCTTTATTTTTCAGGAAAAGCCAGACGCCACCTAAAGCATCTGTTGCTTTTACTGGAAGTGTACAACCAGAAGAGCCAGCTTTCATGAAACCACCAAATGAACAGGAGAACCAGGCAGAACATATATGTGTGGCATCTTCCAGCTCGGCTGTGCAAAGAGCCAATGAGATGCTGCAGGATCTGGGGCGGCTTAAAAATGAGATGAGGAGTCTAATGCAGGTGAGAGCTTCAGAAATCAATGCTAACTTTCACACTTTCACACTCTGATAGTCCTGCTTTGGGTTTAGTTACTAGAATAGATCTCTGCAGTGGCATTGGCCAAACCAATTAAAACTTGAATTGCTGTCTTCTACTAATTTGTCGATATTCTCAAACAGGTCGATGAATAAAAAGTGGCTTTGCACATCTACATTTTGGAATCAGCCTTTGTGATATGAATTTTACTGCATCTATCTATCTATCTATCTATCTATCTATCTATCTATCTATCTATCTATCTATCTACCTATCTATCTATCTATCTATCTATCTATCTATCTGTCTATCTGTCTATCTGTCTATCTGTCTGTCTGTCTGTCTGTCTGTCTGTCTGTCTGTCTGTCTGTCTGTCTGTCTGTCTGTCTGTCTGTCTGTCTGTCTGTCTGTC